TGGGTTGTTCTCAGGTTTACAAGCAGAAGGTGAAGCACTTGCTGTACGAGCACCAGGAGAACATCACGGAGCTGCGGGCGGAGGGCACGCTGTCCCTGAAGCGGGCGCAGAAGGATCACTGGGAGCAGGAGACGGAGCTGCGGAAGGACGTGCGCTGCCTGAGAGTGGGGCTGAAGGAGCAGGAGCTGACCCACCACGCGGAGCTGAAAAACCTGCGGCTGGTACGGCGCCGGGTGGACGGGCGCGCTTTTTTTTAGCCGCCGTCTGCACGGATAATGCAGGATGGGTGCTGCGGCGTTTGCATGGATAACGTGGGATGGGTGCTGTGGCGGGAGCAGGAGGGAATCCCTCGGGATGCACCTGGCTCAGGGGTTGGGTGGCTGCCCCTGACACATGGCTTCTCCCTGGCAGAAACAAGAAGAGGAGATCGCCCGGCTGCGCACCGACTTTGAGAAACAAGCAAAAGGTCAGGATGTGCGCGGGCGCTGCGTGAGCTCCGTGTCGGGGTGCCAGGGAAGGTTCCTGCGAGCCCGGCTGCGCTGCTGGGCTCCCTGGGAGAGCCTTGAGCCAAAGGGGGATGGTTCTCCCCCAGTTCTGTCCAGTTTTCCCCCAATTCTGGATCCCCCATGCTCTGGGGCTGCCAGACCCCCAGCATCCTGCGAACAGAAGGAGGCTGGGTGCCCACAGGACGAGCCGAGGGGTGCAGGCAGGGCTGGCTGGAGGAGCCCTTGCAGCGTCCTCACTCCCGTCCCCTCCCTGGGGGACATTTCGGGTTGTCACAGGTGACACTGAGCCATTCCCTGCCCTTTTTCCACGGATGCTGTTTCTGGCTTCCGCTCCCCACGGTCCTGGCATTGCTGCTCCGCACGCTGGTGGCGGCTGTGGTGACGCTGCCAACGAGCGTCTTGTCCTCGAGCGACGCTGCGGTGGCACGCACTGGGCTGGCACCGGCTCCCCGAGCGGGGACACGTGATGCAGGGTCCCCAGGAGGTCCCCACCAACCCCCTTTGCTCCCCCCCAGAGATGCAGACCAGCTACGCGCGGAAGATGCAGGCGCTGCGGGAGCAACTGGACCTGCGGAGGAAGACGGAGGTGCACGAGGTGGAGGAGAGGAAGAACGCCCAGATCGAGGACCTCATGCGCAACCATGAGAGAGCCTTCGGTGACATGAAGAACTACTACAACGACATCACCCAGAAAAACCTGGCACTCATCAGCATGCTGAAGGTACCGCTCACCCTGCCCGCACCCTGCCCGCGCCCCGGGACCTGTCCTGCGGGGATTTCACCCCAAACGGGCTCCTTCCCAGGGTGGGGGGTGTCTGGAGGGTGTGGGGAGCCCTGAGGAGCCGGGCAGCCCCCCCAGGAGCTGGGGTTCGTGTCCCCGAGCGCAGGAGCAGATAGAGGAGATGAAGAAGAGGGAGCAGCAGCTGGAGAAGGAGAAGGCGGAGGTGCTGCTGCGCAACAAGCAGCTGACGGAGCCGCTGCAGCAGGCGCAGGAGCGGGTGGCGGAGCTGCAGAAGAAGCTGGCTCACTATGACAAGGACAAGGAGGCTCTGACGGTGAGGGGACAGCCCCGTCCTTTCCCCACGCTGTGTCCTGGAGGGAGACCCTCGGCGGTGGGTGCTGCCAGGTCCTTGGGGTCCCTTCCAGCTCGGCTGGGTGTTGGTGGGATGCCATCCGGAGGGACCGGGATGGGCTGGAGAGCCTGTGCCAGCCTCGTGGAGTTAACACGGCCGAGGGCAAGGTCCTGCCCGTGGGTCGGGGCGATCCCAGGCACAAGCACAGGCTGGTGCTGGGTGCTGAGAGGCTCAACATGACCCAGAAACCCCCCAGGCCCTGGGGGCATCACCAGCAGGGTGAGGGAGGGGATTCTCCCCCTCTGCCCTGGTGTGACCCCCCCCTGGGGTGCTGCCCCCAGCT